AGTGCAAGACCCTTGGTGACGTCAACTACTACTTTGGGCTTCACATTGAGCGAGATGTGGAGAAGCGGTGGATGCGAGTGCATCAAAAGAAGTACTTGAAGGAATTGGCTGCAAACTTTGGGAAGAGTGAAGTTCATGTGGCTACTCCTCTTTCCTCAGGGTTCAAGTGTGTGAAAGGACCAGTGGAGGAAAGTGTTGGTGAGGAGGAGAGGCACCATTTTCACTCCTTGGTGGGCAGCCTCATGTATGCGGCCGTTCACACAAGGCCGGATGCAGCCTTTGCTACCGGGCAGCTGGCTAGGGTTGTCCAATGCCCTTATGAAGAACAGGTAGCAGCTGGAGAGAGGGTGGCCAAGTACCTTAGCCAAACAGCAACTGTTGGACTGCAATACTCCGCGGCGGCACAAAGGCGTCAAAAGGGTGCGGATGGAGTCGAACCCGGAAGGCTCTTTCTCACCGCCTTCTCTGATGCATCTTGGGCATCAGAACCAGAGGACATGACAAGTGTGGGAGGCTTCATCTGCTGTGTTTTTGGAGGACCAACAGCTTGGGAGAGCAAGAAACAAGTAGACCAAGCAGTGAGCTCGGTGGAGTCCGAGTACATGGCACTCTTCCGTGCCATAAGAGAGGTTGTGTGGCAGCGTCGTTTGCTAGCTAAATTGGGAGAGGAGCAGCAAGGACCTACCCCACTCTATTGTGATAGCCAGTGTGCTATTGCATTGGCTAAAAACCTTGTTCTTCATGGCCTTACCAAGCATATGAAGGTGAAGTGGCATTGGGTGAGGAGCATGGTAACTGCGGGTAAAGTGGAGTTGCACTACGTGAAGACGACGGCGCAGCCAGCTGATATGATGACCAAGAGGCTGGTTGAGCAGCAGCATTGGAAGTGTTGCAAGCTTGCTGGGATGGCTCTGAACTAAGGGGAGCAGATTCTAAGGCCAACAATCCGAGGGGGAGTTTGTTGGTGCAACCCTATGGCTTGCACTCGGCTTGTCGTCCTTGTTTGTGTGTGTGCATGCATGGCGTGGAATGACTTGTGAGTCTATGTCATTGCTATCTAGTGCTTGTGTGTGTGTTTGAATGGTGTATCACAATGTGGTTTGTGTCGGTCAAGACATTTGCGAGTTTTCACAACTCGCATGTCAAGTCGTCGTTTGTGTGTCGCATGTGCTTTCTCTATTTTGTCGAGTGTGAAGTGTCCATCTCATCGCAGGTGTGTGCAGCAAGCCCTCATCATCTCAAGAAGAATTGATCTTGCTGAACCAAGACCAAGAGCTCAAGATTTCAAGCCCAAGGGACGTGGACAAAAATTAAAATAGTGAAAATAGTAACGCTACTTCGTGTAGTGTTGCATTTCACCTAGTGTAGCCCCTTGTTGGGTTTGTTTCGAGTCTCCTCATGGTTGGGGACTCTGTGGTGGTGTACCACCAACTTGGACCTCGGATCTTGGGGTATGTAGAGGCTGGGAACCATCCTTACCTCGAACTCTTCTTGCTAAGTTTGTACTCCTAAGACTATAGTGGCTACTATACCTCCTGCTTGTCAAACCGTCATAGCGTCGTAAAATCTTCATGGAAGTTTATGACTCAACTTGCTGCTGATAGGCGACGGCAACGCACTGCAGATCCAATTTACAGGTCACCATTTGAGGCAGAGGTCAGATCGGCATCAATATTTGAAGCTGTCTAACGGAATTCTGACTGTGCACAATTTCTCTCATTTTATGCACATCTGAGCCTATTGTGATTATAACACATAGTTGCTATGAAAGAACCATCATTTGAGGGAAAGAAGCAAAGATTCTCTATAGTAAAAGCAAGGAGCAAAGGAAGGTTTTAAGGGGAAGCCTCTCCTATTGGTTATTATGTTGGCCAATAGGAGAGGTTGCTTGGAGGGGAAGCAGCCCCGAGGTGCGGTTGTTGCTGATTGGTTAGGTTTTGGGGCTATGTGGCTGGAATAGTGCCAACCATATGACCAAGCAGATCCAATCGTCACCAACCCCAACTTGTGGTTGGTGAACCCAACCAACACCCCCCCAGAAGGTTAAATAACTTCACCCCTATTCTAGCCTATATATGTTGTTATAGTTATATATTTTACAACATCCTGCCTTACGTAACGTGGTTGTGCTTGCTGTGCTTGCCATGGCAGGCGGGGTGGGAGGAGGGATGATCCACGGCACGACCAGTGAGGCGGTGCTCGTGGCACTTGTGGCCGCCAGGAGGCAAGCGCTGGACCAGGAATGGAGGCTGGGGAAAGAACGTAGACAGGGGGGGATGGACTGGGGCTCCTGAGAAAAGGCGGGCAGCAGAGGAAAGGCTTATAGCTTACCTTAACGAGGCAGAGAGCAGGCTTGTATCAAGTATAGGGGAGACACGGAATGGCCGGCAGGGTTGCCATGGGAGCGTGGGCAGGGGAATGGAAGAGCAGGCGATGGTTGACAAGGGATGCCAACAGGGCCTTCTGTGGTTCAGGCCAAAGCTTCTGCCGCCAGCTGTGCTGCAGGTGCTGCAGCTGGTGCTGGTGCCGATGGTGCGGGTGAGGAGGGCGAGTGCAGCAGCTGTGGCATGGCAGGGCTGTGGGTGAGCCGCGAGGACGTGGCGCGGCAGCAGCGCTGGTGGTGTACTTCTCGGACCAAACCCACATGCTGCCCACCACGGCCGCCTCCACGTATGCCGTCACGCTTGAGGTGCTGCTGGCAGCCATACACAGGGATGAGGCGGCTGGCTTCCTACCCTTTTTCCTTAGTCTCTCTGTAAGGACTCCCGCGCTTCTCGCCTATACACATCTTCTTGCTGCTGACCTCCCGTCTCTCCCCTGCATGCCCTCGCTCTCTCTCATGATAAGCAGCCCTTCATGCGCCATGCCCTACCTCATGCGCCACGCCCTACCTCATGCGCCACGCCCTACCTCATGCTCCACGCCCTACCTCATGCTCCACACCCTACCTCAGGCGCCACGCCCTACCTCACGCGCCACGCCCTACCTCACGCGCCACGCCCTACCTCACGCGCCACGCCCTACCTCACGCGCCACGCCCTACCTCACGCGCCACGCCCTACCTCACGCGCCACGCCCTACCTCACGCGCCATGCCCTACCTCACGCGCCACGCCCTACCTCACGCGCCACGCCCTACCTCACGTGCCACGCCCTACCTCACGCGCCACGCCCTACCTCACGCGCCACGCCCTACCTCACGCGCCACGCCCTACCTCACGCGCCACGCCCTACCTCACGCGCCACGCCCTACCTCACGCGCCACGCCCTACCTCACGCGCCACGCCCTACCTCACGCGCCACGCCCTACCTCACGCGCCACGCCCTACCTCACGCGCCATGCCCTTCCTCACGCGACAGGCCCTACCTTACGCGCCACGCCCTACCTCACGCGCCACGCCCTACCTCACGCGCCATGCCCTTCCTCATGCGACACGCCCTACCTCATGCGCCACGCCCTACCTCATGCGCCATGCCCTACCTCATGCGCCACGCCCTACCTCATGCGCCATGCCCTATCTCATACGCCATGCCCTACCTCATACGCCACGCCCTACCTCATGCGCCATGCCCCACCTGGATCCAGAAGCAGTAGCAGTCGAAGCTGGTGAGCAGCCACTTGTGCGCGTTGGTTGCTAGTGAGTCCACCAGATGCACGCTCTCCAGATAGTGCCGCATATAAGGGCACATTCACGCCATGCCCGCATATGCCGCGTCCACATGTACCCACATGGCGTGCGCCTGCAGGGCCAGGGGTTGGAAAGAACAACTGGGGCAACTTTCTGAGGTGCCTATCGATGCGCCTACCCACATGCCATGCGCCTGTTTTGGGTGCTGGGAGGGAGAACTGGGAGCGCACTTTGAGCCACCTATTAATGCACTCACCCTCCATGTGCCTGTGGATGGCATGCCGGGGATGACACGTAAGGGGTGGCACGTCCCAAGCGACTGCAGTTGGGAACGTGCAACAAGGGGAGTGACATGGCCCAAACTTAGTGATGCCACCCTCTTTGTGCTCGCTGCATGCACCACCATGTATTGTGTCTCACCATACCCCATGTCTCACCATGCCCCGTGCCTCACCATGCGCCATGCCCCTGTGCATGCCTTCCCCCACCAGGACAGCAAGCCTCTGGTGGAGGCACTCTCAATGCTGCCGGAGTATCTGCAGAGCAAGGTGGGCTGTAGGTGCAGTTTGCGGTAAAGAAGCAACATGAGTGTGCATTGTGCAATCACACATCTATCTCAAGCGCTCTCTCACATCTCTCTGCCTCTTTTTTCACTACCTTGCTCTCTCCCTCTGTCTGTCCGCCGCCCACTCACACGCACGCACACTTTCTTCCCTCTCTCCCCCACCGTAGCCATTGATTTATCCCTCAGAGCCAACTATCACCTCCCTGCATGTATCTCGGCTTCCAGCGGCCATGCCTCATACTATGCTACCATTTCTTGCACCAATCTTCAGGAGTCCCTGTACCCCCCTAATTACACTATCAAATGCACTTTCAAATACGTTTTCAAATACACTCTCAAATACACTCTCAAATACACTCTCAAATACATTCTAAAATACACTCTCAAATACACTCTCAAATACACTCTCAAATACCCTCTCACATACCCTCTCACACTCCCTCTCACACACCCTCACATAGCCTCGCACATGCTACCCCCTGCTGCCTCCCTCACCCTCCCCCTGCTCTTCCCCCGCATGCCCCAGCTGATGGCCCCGCGCCCCTTTGCCCTCGTGTGCTTCTGCCTCAAGCCACCCGCAGCAATCACATATGGTAGGGTGGAGAGTGGCGGGACAGGCGAGGGGGTGGTGGAAGATGGCGCGGTGGATGGGGGGAGGGAGCTGAACGCAACGCTGCTGGAGGCAATCAACAGCAGCGGCAAGGCCTACCTCACGCACACCGTGAGTGCTGCAGCATGCTGCTACATGCCTTCCTTTTATATTCTTCTACACCTGTGATTTGCACACCTTCACCTCACCTCCGTCCTTAATCCTAACACTTGGGAGTCCAAGGAGGCCTTATGTGTTTTGTCAGCCCATGCAGACAAGCATTCTTGGCGAGCTTCACAGCAGACTCATTGTCACAGAACACAACTGTCGGCTCCTCCTGACCAACTCCCAACTCCTCCAACAAGCGCCTCAGCCACACCACTTCCTTGGCCCCATGGTGTAAGGCCATGTACTCAGTCTCACATGAGGACAATCCCACCTCATTCTGCTTCTTGCTGCGCCAGCTCACAGCACCACCTCCTAGCAAGCACACATATCCCCCAATGCTGGTGCCATCCGCTTTTACTGAGTTGAAGCTAGCGTCAGTACCTTAGGCTGAGGAATTGCAGCCCAATAGCACAATGCAATCTCATCTTCCTCAATCTGCTCAACCACACTCCCAGCCTGCACCACATTCGGCTTGCCTCTTCCCCCATAGGTCAGCCTCACTGGAGGGCGCACATCCCTCCTAGGACGCTCAGGCGGGTGTGGAACTCGAGGTGGAGACTCATGCTGCTGCTGCTGCTGCTGCTGCTGCTCTACTTCAGCTGCTCCCCCTTCTTCAGTCACCCCAGACATCTCCTCCTCAGACACTGCAACCTCCACCTGCCTTGAAGGCTGCTGCAACTCATCTGCCTCCACAATGAGTGGTGTAGATGGAAGCTTCTGTTGCTGCTGCTTCCATTCCTTGTAGTACAGGGACTCAAGAAACTTCACATCCCTTGACACTGTCAGCTTCTGGGTGGTCAAGTCCCATAGCAGCCACCCCTTGTGATCCTTTGCAATCCCCAAGTGCACACCCCATCTTCCAGAAGCCTCCAACTTCCCCCTTTTCTCCTTAGGCACATGAAACACCACCATGCACCCAAATGCCCTCAGCATATTCACAGCTGGAGCACTCCCATACCACTTGACATATGGGATCCACTCCTTATCTCCAACTGTAGCCAGCACCCTGTTCTTCACAAGGGCGACCTGCCTCAGTGCAGACACCCAAAACGGATCAGGCAGCCCTGCACGCCCAAGGAGAGTGCGTGCCCCCTCCTGCAGGGTCCTGTTGAACCTCTCAGCTACGCCATTCTGCTGCGGATTGTAGGGCACTGTCAGTTGATGCTGGATCCCCTTCCTCTTCAACTCCCCCTCAAAATCAGCTCCAATGAACTCCCCACCATTGTCACTGCGGATCACCTTCACCTTGTGTCCGCATTCCCTCTGAGCTCTAGGCATCCACTCCTTAAGGACAGCCGCTGCCACCTCCCCCTTGCTGTTCAAAGGGTAAACCCACACTGCCCGAGTGTGGTCATCCACAATTGTCAAGAAATAGCGGCTGCCTGAGAGGGAAGGGGCTCTGGTGGGCCCCACCACATCCATGTGCACAAGTGCAAGTGGGGTCTTGGCTGGTCCTGTTGCACTGTTGAAGGGGAACTTGGAGAACTTGGTCTCCAAGCATGTAGGGCAGCTCCCAATCTCCTTCACTTCCCCTTTCACCTCCAAGCCCTTCAGGCTCCCATTCTTCACCAACTTCTGCAGCATAGGGAAGTTCACATGACACAACCTCTCATGCCATGTCTCCCAATCGGCCTCTCCACTCCTTGATGAAGCCTTAGCCCATGCCGCACTCGCATCCACACCAGCAAGCACCTCACCATGTGTCTGCTGCTTCTGCACTTTCTTGACTGCTTCCAGGACCCCATCAGTTGGTGCAGTTGCATCTCCTCCTGCTGTTGCCTTTGCCGCTGCTGCCGTTGCTGCTGTTGGAGTCTTCCCATTCCAAGGGATGATGGGCAGCTGCCACAGGTCCTTGATGCAGCTGGTCTCCTCTTCCAGACTCCACAGCACCTTCTTCCCAAGCTTAGCACGGCAGCTGGTTGGTCCAAAGGTCACTTCGGCCTTACTCTTCTGCAGTCGCCGCACAGAGAGAAGGTTAGCAGACAAGCCTTTAACCAGCAGAACATTCCCAAGCCCCACAAGCTCCCCATTAGCTCCCTTAACCTTGGCATTCCCAACACCAATCACGGGGAGCAAAGCACCTGACGCTGCTGCCACATACTTGATCTTCCCAGGGGGTTTTACCTCATCAAGCAAATCTGCCCGTGGAGTCATGTGACTGGTGCAACCCGAATCAATCACCCAGTGCGTGAGAGGGTGCATCACAACCTTTCCCACAGATCCCACATCACCCTCATGCCCATGCACATCCTCAACCATGAGATACATCCCAGGATAGGCGTTACCTTGTGCACCTTCACCTTGTGCACCTGCGCCTTGCACAGCGCCACCTTGTGCGCGTTCACCACTTGGCGGCTTCATGCCTGGAGGTGCCCATCCCTCCGGCCTGCTGAAGCACTTGAACCAAGGATGCCCGACCTTCTTGCAGTACCAGCAGGTGCCCTCCATTCTGGTACTCCCCCTGCCACTGGAGCTCCCATGCCCCTCATTATAGTCACCTCGGCCTCTACCTCTGCCAAAGCTTCTCCCACGGCCTCGGCCTCTCCAACCCCCTCTTCCTCTGCCGCGCCCTGCAGCTCCATACCCCTCAGCAGTCTTAGTGGCAGCACCGCCTCCCACATGGCGTCTGCGGAAGTCCTCCTGCAGAATCTGGTGCCTTAGCCACTCAGGTGTCCATTGATCTTGCTGAGAGTTGAGGGTGGGGATGAGGTTGTCCCAAGAGTTGTCCAACACCGAGATGATCTTGGTGCACTGCTGCAGCTGAGATACACTGCTGCCCGCTGCTGCCATCCTTGCATAGGTGTCCTTGATCTTGTCAAGGACCGGCTTCACATCGTCCCCTGGTCGCATGGAGATGGCAGCAAGTTCCTTCTCGAGCACGATCACCATTGGGAGAGTGTTGGGCTGAATCACATCACGTAGTAGTTTCCACGCCCTTGGACCCGAATCATCCGCTTCCACAAGATCCTTGATGTGCTCGAACATCTCCTTGTTGACCGATTGAAGGATGAGGTCGAAAAGCACCGCGCTTTTCTCAATCCACCGTTCACGTGCTTCGCCTTCTTCCGGCATCTTCTCTTCCCCAACAGCAATCTTCAGTAGCTTGTAGCGTTTGAAGGCACTCCTCATCCGTCCGCTCCATTCCTCATAGTTGGAGCCATCCAAAGCTTCAACTTTTGATGGCGGCGGCTCACTTGTCTTCTCAGCTACAGCTCCTTTTCCATTAGCATCTCCTCCTCTCTCATTCATCTTCTCCTTGAGAAATGACGAATTTCAGCTCCCCTTTGCTGTCCACACTCAGCTCCCTCGATATTTTCACAAGTATCGGCGTCCACGAAATTTCGGCAGAGTTTCCCCTTAGCGGAAGACACATCCAACCTTTAGAACACCACTTAGGCACACCCACAGGCCATGGTGGGTCTAGAAGGGTCTTCACACTTCTGTAGACTCCTCTCAATGTCCTTAATCCAGCTCTGATACCACTTGTTAGGATTAAGGACGGAGTCTAGGTGAACTTAGGAGCTAGAATTACTCAAAATATAAATCCGAAATTCTGGACAGAAAAGTCGTCTTCACAAGAAACAACGTCGACAGAAAACTAGCCGTTGGAATGTCGCGGAACTTGGATATGTTGTAGCTCTTAATCTCAGCTACCGTTCCCAATTTGAATCATGTTGATTGATGAAGTATTCGCGACGCTATGGCTTTCGACGCATTAGGGGGTAAGCTGTAGGAGGAGAACTTAACTCAATCTCAAAAGTTCAATCAAAGTTCAAGAATCTCACAAGGAATTAGAAGGAGCAAGAGAAAGGTTGGGATAGGAAGAGAGGGATGAGAGGGAAGGTCCCAAGAGAGTCCCCAACCAAGGAAACCCCATAAGCACAAAGATTCCCTCCCTATAGGAACCTCAACTTTGACCTTTGTCCCTTCCCAACCAATCCATCCAAGTTGGCCACCCTTGCCAACCTAGCTTGGTTGTTCCCAACCTATTTGCAGCTGTTACAGTAGAGTGACAAGTTTCCCCAACCCCAAAGGTCCCAACTCCATATAAAGTCACCCCACAACTTCACTTTGTAACCGCCGCAATTGTAACGCAAGCTCATGAACTTTGAATCTTCATAGCTTTCGCGTTCTTGCTCCGATTGAAGCGATTCTTGTTGCGTCGGAAAGATCTTCTCAAGATCTATCGTCACAAATACCTGCTCAGACAGAATAAAACAAAACACATTCCCAAACTCCAGAACACACACCACACAAATGCTTGCACATTCAAACCACACATGCAAGTTGAAAACATGGGATGGGAGGCAGACAGAATGTGATAGCATATGATGACATCACACAACACCAAGCAGGTGCAATCTGGGAAGTACACCCTGCGCATGGCCATAGGGGCGGTGAAGAGAGGATGAGGTACATGCAGGCTGCATGGGAGCTTATCCAAATGGAAGCTTCCAGGCTGCTGCAGGAAGTCACCTCTCACTCGAAAGAAAATGCAGTGAATGCTTTTGACGATGAGTGAATCACACTGGTGAACTAGCAAACCATCTTGTATCTTAGTTGCCCATAGCAGCACCTCCAGGTTTCACTTACAGCGGGTCTTTTGTTCTGGCTATTCACTGTATAGTAGATTGTATTGAAATCCATCGTACGGTAGTTGGAATAAGCCAGCAATCAATTTGAGTGGAACTACCCACTACTCGCCAAACGCTATCAGGCAGGAAAATGCCGTTCCCCTTGAATGCCAGCGTGTGTCAAGTGCAGCACGCCCTTAAAACCCCACGGCAAAATAGCAGAGGGGGGGCCCCTTGATCTTAGCCTCTCCTGACAAAACGAAGTCCCTTTTTGGACGACGAGACGTCTGGTCGCAAGTGCGCACTAACTTCTCGCCGAACGAAATGAAAATACCAAAACTTCCCTCCCATTGGCTGGATCAAAACATGAGTGGTCTGGCTCAAGAATGTGCGCACGAAACAAAATTAAGACTTTCCCGCGTCGACAGACCGTCACAAAAGGTCTCGCACGATTGTGCGACTATGGCGGCGAGAGGGTGTAAGGGTAAATTCCGCAGCGAGTGTTAGACCCGAGGGTTTAGCGGGAAAATTTGAGGCTGCAAAAAAATTGCCACGGGTCTTGCGAAAAACTGACGGCTCCAGCAGGCCCCCAAATTGGTTTTGGGCATGTCTGATTCGTCAGAGTCCCCTGCCTTCCCTTGGTATGGGTGTCACAGTCACCTCCTGGAAAAAGTCTGAAAAATCAAAGTAGCCATGGATTTTTGTTTGACCAATCAGAGTCAAAGCCAAACTTTTGTATGAGCCTTTCGTTGCTTCTTCATAGAGACTGCACTACATGCACAGAATCAATCGATATCCCGCATATCCTACTGAGGTGCTGCCAGCATATCATCATCTACTTTCTCCTTTCCCTTCCTGCTGCTACTGGCCTCAGGCAAGGCGTTGCAAAGGGGCTTCCTCTTCTTAAAAGCCTGCCAGATGGAGACCACCTCTTCCCAGTTGGGGTCATACTCTAGCTGCGACATGCACATCAACTCTCCTAGCCTAGTATCCTTCAGAGCTCCCCGCAGCCAACTCTTGATGACGTTCTGGCGGTAGAACCCGCGCTCACACTCGACAGTGCTCAACGGAAAGACAGCCACCCACAGGTTGACCAGGTTGGGAAAGCTGTCCCTCCAGTCCTACATCTTGAGCATGGCACTCAGCCCCACGTGGAATGACTTGTCCGCCTTGGGAAGCGCAACAAGGACGGGGACGAAGTTGCGGAGCTCGCTCTAGGCTTTGCGCTTGTCTATGCCTACTCAAACAAGGGCACACAAGGAGAGGGAGAAGGGTTGGGCTATCGAAAATAGTATACAACTAGTAAAAGATAGGTCTCTTGTTTAACAGATACATTGCCGAAAGGATACTGGATGGAGTAGAAAGTGATTCACCTGGCAGAATCTCGTCCCTGTCTTCAGTGCAGTACATGACCACGAGCGAGTTGAACCACTAAAGGCACTGCGTCCTCCGTGCCTGTCGGTCCCAGTTGGGCGGCCATGTGTTGACTCTGAACAGGCGTGTTCCCGAGGTTGCGGACCAGCCCCTCCGCTAGATCCATGCATGCCACGACACTCCCATTGTGGTCGCTGGGCCCTGAGTAGTCCTCCAGTGGCTCTTTGTGCAGCTTAAAGGTGAACCGTAAAGGTCGGCCATCAGAGTCGATCTGCTCCACTATCACTAGCTTGGACTTGCCGGGCCCGTGCTTGGCGAGGAACTGCGTCAGTCAATCGTTGGGCCCACTAGTGAAGTCGTCTCCGCACTCTACGTAGCGGCTCTCCACAAGTGGGGTCATGTGGATAATCTGCACGTGCACCATCATGTAGTCCAGCTGTATGCGCTTGGGATCATACTCCTGCAGCTGTTATAATCACAATAGGCTCAGATGTGCATATAATGAGAGATAGAGAGCACAGTCGGATTTCCGTCAGACGGCTTCAAATATTGATAAAGATCTCCTCGCTGACTCAAACGGTGATCTGTAAATTGGATCTGGAGCGCGTTGTTAACGTCTATCAGCAGCAAGTTGAATCATGAAATTCCATGAAGATTTGACGACGCTATGGCGGTTTTACTGGCAGGAGCCACTATAGTCTTAGAATACAAAAACTTACGAAGAAGAATTCGAGAGGGAGATGGTTCCCAGCCTCTACATACCCCAAGAGCCGAGGTCCAGGTTGGTGGTACACCACCACAGAGTCCTCAACCACGAAGAGTCTCGAAACCAACCCTCCAAGGGGCTACACCAAGTGAAATGTAACACTACACGAAGTAGCGTTACTATTTTCACTATTTAATATTTATCCGCGTCCCTTGGGCCTGAAATCTTGAGCTCTTGGTCTTGGATCTGCAAGATCTATTCTTGTTGAGTTGATGGGGGCTTGCTGCACACACCTGCGACGCGATGGACACTTCACACTCGACAAAATAGAAAAAACACATGCGATACACAAACAACGACTTGACATGCGAGTTGTGAAAACTCGCCAATGTCTTGACCGACACAAACCACATAGTGATACACCATTCAAATACACACACAAGCACTGGATAGCAATGACATAGACTCACAATTCATTCTATGCCATGCATGCACACACACAAACAAGGACGACAAGCCGAGTGCAAACCATAGGGTTACACCAATAGCAGCATGACCACGATGGCGGATAGGACCTCGACCAGGAGGATGACCACATCCCTGCATGACACGTGTGTCATGCGTGTCATGCTTATTATGCTTGCCATGCCTATCATGCTTGCCATGCCTACCATGCCTGTCATGCATTTCATGCTTGCCATGCATATCATCTCAGCCATGCCTATCATGCCTGCCATGCCAGCCATGCCAGTCATGCCTACCATGCCTGTCATCTCTGTCATGCGTGCCATGCCTGTCATGCCCTGTCATGCCTGTCACTCGTGTCATGCCTGCCATGCTTGCCATGCCTGTCATGCTTGCCATGCCTGTCATGCCAGCCATGCCTGTCATGCCTGTCATGCCTGCCATGCCTGCCATGACTGCCATGCCAATCATGCCTGCCATGTGTACCATGCCTGCCATGCTTGTCATGCCTGCCATGCCTACCATGCATGCCATGCCTGTCACGCCCATCATGCCTGTGATGCTTGCCTGGCCTGTCAAGCCTTTCATGCATGTCATGCGTGTCATGCGTGTCATGCCTATCATGCCTGCCATGCCTGTCATGCCAATCATGCCTGCCAAGCCTGTCATGCCTGCCATGCCAGTCATGCCTGCCATATCAGTCATGCATGCCATGCTTGCCATGTCCGGCATGCCTGTCATAGGTATCATGCATGTCATGCCTATCATGCATGTCATGCCTATCATGCTTGTCATGCGTATCATACCTGTCATGCCTGCCATGCATGCCATCCCCGTCATGCCTGCCATGCTTGTCATGCCTGCATTCCTGCCATGCCCATCATGCCTATCATGTCTGCCATGCCTGTCATGCCTGTCATGCTTGCCATGGCTACCATGCCTCTCATGCCAGTCATACATGACATGTCTGCCATGCCACTCATGCCTCCCATGCCTCTCATTCTTGCCATGCCTGCAATGCCTGTCATGCCTGTCATGCCTACCATGCGTGCCATGCCTGTCATGCCTCTCCTGCCTGTCGTGCTTACCATGCCTATCATGCCCGTCATGGCTGTCATGCCTGCCATGCCTGTCATTCTTGTCAGTCCTGCCATGCCTTCAATGCTTGTCATGCCTACCATGCATATCATGCCTGTCATGTCTGCTCTGCCAGTCATGCCTGCCACGCCTGCCATGCCTGCCACGCTTGTCATGCATGCCATGCCTGTCATGCCTGTCATGCATGCCATGCCTGTCATGCCTACCATGCCGTTCATGCTTGCCATGTTTGTCATGCCTTACATGCCTACCATGAGAGTCATGCACGCCATGCTTGTCATGCAATTTATGCCTGCCATGCCAGCCATTCCTATCATGCCTTTCATGCATGTCATGCCTTTCATGCATGTCATGCTTGTCATGCATGTCATGCCAGTCATGGCTGTCATGCCTCTCATGCATGCCATGCCTGTCAGGCCAGCCATTCCTGCGATGCCAGTCATGCCCTCCATGCAAGTCATGCCTGCCATGTAGGTCATGCATGCTATGCCTGCCATGCCTACCATGCGAGTCATGCCTGCCATGCTTGCCTTGTATGTCATGCGTGTCATGCGTGTCATGCATGTCAAGCCTATCATGCCTGTCATGCGTGTCATGCCTGTCATGCCTGCCATGCTTGCCATGCCTGCCATACTTGTCATGCTTGCCATGCATGCCATGCCCGTCATGCCACCATGCCTGCCATGCCCGTCATGCCTGCCATGCCCGTCATGCCTGCCATGCCTGCCATGCCTGTCATGCTTGCCATGCATGCCATGCCGGTCATGGTAGTCATGCCTGCGATGCCTGCCATGACAGTCATGCCAGTCATGCCTGCCATGCTTGCCATGCCAGTCGTGCCTCCCATGCTAGTCATGCCTCCCATGCTAGTCATACCTGCCATGCGTACTTTGCCAGTCATGCCTCCCATTCCTGCCATGCCTGTCATGCCTGTCATGCCTGCCATGCGTGCCATGCTTGTCATGCCTCTCCTGCCTGCCGTGCCTACCATGCCTATTATGGTCGTCAAGCCAGTCATGACTGCCATGCCTATCATTCCTATCAGGCCTGTCATGCCTACCATGCCGTTCATGCTTCCCATGCTTTTC